GAGGAGGGGGAGGGAGAAGCTTGGCGAAGGCTGGCAACCCCGTGGCTGCTGAAACGGAGCTCCGGAAGAGTGTTTTCTCCTGTCGGGGAGCAGCCCGTTTACTATCTAGAGCGCCGAGATTTATCTCTGGCATCTGCTTTCTCCTTCCGGGAAAACCGTTTCAGCAGCCACGGATTTGTCAGCCCTCGCCCAGCTCGGGAGCCTTGAGACGGAGGTCAATGCAAACGGGGGTCAGCCAGGGCACTGGATTTTGCAGGATCCTGCGAAGACCCCCTCTGGCTGACCCGGATTAGCGAGCCGCTCGTGGCCGCGAGGCGGCCGCGCATATTGGCTGACCCGGGTTTGCGAAGACCTGCGCTGCAGTTTTGTTATCCTGCATTGCAATTGTTTGGTTTCATGCTGACCCGGGTCTGGATCGACCCGGGCCAGAAGATCCCCGAATAACCCTCGATCTGCCCGCCTCCCTCCTCGCCTTGCGATCTTCCCGACCAGCTTCCGATCTGGAGGGAGAGGGGAGCATGTCGAGGGCCACATGCGGACCCTTCCCCTACCCCCCACGATTTCTGAGGGGGAGGGCGGGGTTCACTTCGGTTCGGGAGCTCCCGAGCGAAGTGAACCCCGCCCTGCCCCTCAGAAGTCGTGGGGGGGGGCGGGGCAGGGCTCGCAGGTGGCCCCCCCTAGCAGGCGAGCGCCTGGCGGGCGGGGGGATCGGGCGCAGGAGCGCGCGCGGCAGAGCCGGCCGGGCGGGCCGTGCGGGCGACCCCCCGACGGGCAGGTCGGGCGGCCGGGCCCACGTTCGGCCGGGCCCCGGGCGGGCGGGCTGCCGCGGCGTCGCTCCAGCAGGAGGCGCGAGGAAGCTTCCAGTGATGGCGCGGTTCCCGAGCAATCGGGAGAGGGAAAAACGACACAGACACCAGTGATCGTCCACTCCCAGGAAAATATGGGAGAACATGGGAAGTGGGGGGGAGACAGCAGCCCAGAAAGTATACGAAAATGTGGGGAATCATTTCATTTTGTGTGTGCTTATTTGTGTGTCCTGGGGCCCCTTCAAGCGAATCGGCAGGAAATCCAGAGCGAGAGCGTGACCCTGAGTCTTCGTCGCCGCCGCCGCCGCCGCCACCGCCGCCGTCCTTGTCGCCGTCGCCGCCGCCGTCGCCGCGGCCGCCGCCGCTGCCGCCGCCGTGGCCGTTGTCGACGTTGGCAGTGGCTCTCCTTGCGCTGCTGACCCGCCCCCCCGAAGGGGAAATGCGACCCATGGAGCAGGAGCCGACGGACCATTTCCAAGGCCCTGGACCATGTCCAAGGGCCCCTGAAATACAGCAGGGTCTAGGCGACCTGCGCCAGCAGGCTCACGACCACCTCCAGAGTCGGGCCGACCCGACCCCACCGTCCTGCACCCGCGCCCAGCACCACAACACCATGGGAACCGAGAGCGATTTCTTTCCAGGCGTCGGGCAAGGGGTTGACGAAGAGGTCGACTTGGGGCCACCCGATGGGTACGATGGCCATCAGGAGGAGGTGCGGCTTGACGCGCAGGGTGTCCTCTGTACGCCACAGGTTGCTTCGGAACAGAGTGACCCGTTGTCCCCTGCGGCGGCGGCTCCAGCCTCGGCGCCTGTTGCATCTTGCGGGCATGGCGGGCCCGAGACAGCAACACCAACGCTGAATGGCCGTGGTATTGTCCAACTCCCCCAAGTGCTGGCTGAGGTGCGCGACCAACTTATCCAAGCGGGACTTGGATCAGGCACGCCGAATTTCGAACAGTCCTACCTCGTCTTTGGCATACCCGAGCCTTCCGCCTATCTGCCACGCGCAGACACGCGGAGGCATGATGTCTGCCTTTGGGGCCGTGGCGTTTGGGCCTCGTTTCTTACACCGACGGGTCTGGCTACGACACCTGGACAAGCTGTTGTGCATCTTGATCCTTACTCTTGGCTCCCAGTTAGGGCGTGGTTCGGGCCCCTTTTCCGTACTTGGTGCAGACTGTTGGCCGTGCTGAGAGGTACGCGATCAGGGAGGGGCTCGACGCTTTCCCTGACCACCAGTGCTTCGTCACTGACCTGCTGGCGCTCGCCCAGGAAGGAGAGCGTTGGTGCCCCGAGCTCGAGCAGGGTCGTGCCAAGCATGCTCGTGCGTGGCGGGACATCTTCGTGGCCAGCCGCAGACGCACTCTGCGGGATCCTGCCAAGTTCCGATGGACGCCTGCGCGCAGGTCCTTCGAGCAGCTTGTGGGCACAGAGTCGCAGGAGTTGCGTGACTGGCTAGGCAACGGCTGGGCAGACTACTTCGCGCGCTGTGGTGCGGCCTCTCACGCGCTGGCTATGTCGGTTGCCGAGGCGGTAACTGCTGCGCTGAAGCAGCACCGCAATGTCGCGCGGTTCATTTCGTGGGCGGCACTGCAGGTGGTGGCTCGCAAGCAATGGGGATGCGACGTGGAGGTCCCCAGGCCACCTTGCGAGCAGGCCAGGCCCATTGTGGTGGCACGAAGCACGGACCATGTCCTTGCTTACTGTGCCAGCCTCGGGCGGTAGCGATGTACCCAATGCGGTGTCACGGCCACAACAGGCTCCTCCCTCGATTCGCTGCAAACTGGCTCTCATCGTGTATGTCGGCCCTCGTGTGTTGCCAGAGCTCTCAACGCCGAGTACTTCCGCACCTTCGGCGAGGGTTGGGTCCTCTGCAGCCACCAAAGGGCTGGCATGGCCCTGGGCGCGGCCTCGGCGCTCGAAGGGGGCTCGCAGCCCTCGGCTCCCGCAGCCTTGGTGCCACCTGGCCTTCGCCGCGCTTGGGCACGACGTGTTCGGGGTCAGCAATGTCTACTGTTGCAGACGCTGCGGGTCTCACTGTGCTGCGGGTGACGTCCGCACAGTGCGGAAGCTTGGCTTGAGGTGCGAAGGGCTCTTGCCCAACGAGTCCACGCGCCGCAACCAGCAAGATGCGATCAGGCGCGTCGAGAAGGGCCTGGCGCCTCGTGCACGACGTACCCCAGCAGGGCAGCTCCCGCAGGGTGGCCCCTCTCGCAGCCACGCGGCGCGATGATCGACCTTGTCGTGATTCGCTGCCGTTCCGTGGTCGGCTGGTGGCACGGCGCTTTCTTCTGCGGCGGCGCTTGCTACGTCGACGGCAAGTTGGCCTGCGTCGGCGCGCCCCTGACCCTCTTCGTCTGCGAGTGGGTCTTCCTCCACACTTTCTTCAACCCTGCCCTCTCCGCCATCGTGGCGTGAGAGCGCCTCGGCGTAGTCCGTCGGGCGCGCGCCAGCGCGGCCGGCGGGAGACGCTCGAGAGGCGCTGCGCTCCTCCTCCTCTCATATTTCTACAATGAAGCATCTATAGCGGTGGAGCTTTTAATAGAGGTCGGCCGTTTCGTGGGCCGCGCAGGGTAAGGCCAGTCCTACGAGTGCTTCTATCGCGATGACGCTGGCGATGATGATGGTGATGAAGATGAATGAAACGACGAAGATGATGGCGCTTAAACTTATGATGATGGTGCTGCTGTTTATGAAGGTCGAGTTGATGATGGTGATGGTGCTGGTGGTAATGACGATGGTGGTGGTGATGCGGGTGATGGTGCTTGTGCTGCCGCTGATGATTGGTCTTCATGTGGTAGTGCTGGTGATGACGGTGGTGGTGATGATGTTGGTGGTGATCATGAGGAGGGTGAGGGTGAGGATGATGGTGATGCGCGAGGTGGTGGACGACGAAGAGGACGACGACGCGGACGAGGCGGATGCCCAGTGGCGGCGTCCCTGTTGCATCGGACCGAGGCGCTCGCGGGCGGCGCGACCGCGGCGGGCGCGGAGGTCCAGGAGTTGATGAGGCGCGTGGCGGCCCCCTTCCCCCTGAGCCTCACGTCCTTGTCGTCGTCGTCGTCGTCGTCGTCGTCGTCGTCGTCGTCGTCGTTGTCTTTGCCGTCGTCGTCTTTGCCGTCGTCGTCGTCGTCGTCGTCGTCGTCGTCGTCGTCTGGTTCCCCAGACGCATGGAATATCAATAAGTCACGTGAAACACGGTTCGAGGTTCGGGGTGTTATGGTGTTTTGTGGCGTATTCGTTGTTATTCAACTGTTTTCCAGCCTCGCGGTGCCTTCCAGCGGCCGTGCCTCTACGAGAGTTTTGTGGGGGTGCCCGAGTCGCCCCGAGACGCTGCCAGAGCCGAGCTCGAAAACCAACGGGACATGTAAGGGGTGGGATATGCCCAGTGGGGAACGCATCGGCCCCCAATCGCCCACTCATCGCCGACAAGTGCCCCAAAGATGCCCCCGCCCGGGAACGTGCGGTTTCGCTATCAGGGGCCTGTCGCTGGTCCGTCGGCTATGTATCGCCGGTGCCAGTGCGATGTTCACCCCCCGCGAGCTGGTCCGCCGTATCGTTTCTCCTCTATAGAAGGGGGTCAATGAGTTCAATGTGCGGGCAATGTCTATCTCCACATCCAGTGCGTTTTGGCGTTCCGGGTTCTCTTCGCCAGAAACATGAGGCGCACTGGATATGTATTACATTCTGGTTCCAGAAGGCTCGATTGTTACCCATATCGAGCGTGCCTCGGCCTTGCGGCGCCCCTTCCCAATAAGTCCAAGACGCACTGGATACGGATTTAAATATTGCCCGCGCAATGGTCGAACCTCATGTCCATGATTGGCAGAGGGCACGCGGCGCCTGTTCTTTTCGTGTGGGCGAGCCTCTGGTACTCGTCCGAGAGGCCGCTGTGCTCCTCGCCCTGAGAGCCCATGTTGGCCTCGACTCGGGCCGAGGATCGAGGATTGATGTTTGTGGACGTCCTTGGCCTGCAGAGGCCTCAGGAGGCCTCCAGAGACATCCCGAAACATCCAGGAACCTCTTGCGCCGCCGCGACCTACCTCCCCCCCCCCTCGCTTTCTCCCCTCCCCCCCTCGCTCTCCCCCCCTCCCCTCCTCGCTCCACAATTATACAGTCTGAATACTACTCTCCTCTGTCTTCTGGTGACGTCCAGAACATATTCGGCCCCCCTCCGCGTACAGTTTTTTACACAGGATTCCCGGGCGTTGGGTTTTCGTTTTTCTCGTTTTTGTCAGCTTTTGTTTTTGTTTTTTGTCAAACGGCTGCTCGTTCCCAACTCTCCTTGGTTGGGTTTTCGTTTTGAATAGAGCACTGCGGTCTCCAGTCCTCCTCCTCCTCCTCCTCCTCCCGCCTCCCGTCTCCCGCTTCCGTGTTGTCTCCTCTTGCTTTGCGCGTACCTCTGTGTGTGTGTGTGTGTGTGAATGTGTGTGTGTGTGCATTCTGGCTGCGGTACTTCTTGTGTGTGCATCTTGCCAAGGAGCTGCGATCTGCGACACTGTCGCCACTTTCGAGGGCTGTTGGTGGGTCCTGCGGAGTGAGGCACCGCGGGGACCTGAGCGAGATCTCGCCGTCCCTGGGGGGGCTGCAATATGCGACACTGTTGCAACTTTCGAGGGCTGCTGATGGGTCCAGCGGAGTGAGGCACCGCGGGGACCTGAGCGACACCTCGCCGTCCCTGGGGGGCTGCGATCTGCGACACTGTCGCCACTTTCGAGGGCTGCTGGTTGGTCCTACGGGGTGAGGCACCGCGGGGACCTGAGCGAGACCTCGCCGTCCTTGGGGGGGCTGCGATCTGCGGGACGGGCTGCTGGTGGGTCCTGCGGAGTGAGGCACCGCGGGGACCTGAGCGAGACCTCGCCGTCCCTGGGGGGGTGCGATCTGCGACACGGTCGCCACTTTCGAGGGCTGCTGGTGGGTCCTGCGGAGTGAAGCGCCGCGGGGACCTGAGCGAGACCTCGCCGTCCCTTGGGGGGCTGCGATCTGCGACACTGTCGCCACTTTCGAGGGCTGCTGATGGGTCCAGCGGAGTGAGGCACCGCGGGGGCTTGAGCGAGACCTCGCCGTCCCTGGGGGGCAGCGATCTGCGACACTGTCGCCACTTTCGAGGGCTGCTGCTGGGTCCAGCGGAGTGAGGCACCGCGGGGACCTGAGCGAGACCGCGCCGTCCCTGGGGGGGCTGCAATCTGTGACCCCGTCGCCACTTTCGAGGGCTGCTGATGGGTCCAGCGGAGTGAGGCACCGCGGGGACCTGAGCGAGACCTCGCCGTCCCTGGTGGTGCTGCGATCTGTGACACTGTCGCCACTTTCGAGGGCTGCTGCTGGGACCAGCGGGGTGAGGCACCGCGGGGACCTGAGCGAGATCTCGCCGTCCCTGGTGGTGCTGCGATCTGTGACACTGTCGCCACTTTCGAGGGCTGCTGCTGGGTCCTGCGGGGTGAGGCACCGCGGGGACCGGAGCGAGACCTCGCCGTCCCTGGGGGGGCTGCGATCTGCGACCCCGTCGCCACTTTCGAGGGCTGCTGGTGGGTCCAGCGGAGTGAGGCACCGCGGGGACCTGAGCGACACCTCGCCGTCCCTGGGGTGGCTGCGATATGCTACACTGTCGACACTTTCGAGGGCTGCTGGTGGGTCCTGCGGAGTGAGACGCCGCGGGGACCGGAGCGAGACCTCGCCGTCCCTGGGGGAGGGGGCTGCGATCTGCGACCCCGTCGCCACTTTCGAGGGCTGCTGGTGGGTCCTGCGGGGTGAGGCACCGCGGGGACCTGAGCGAGACCTCGCCGTCCCTGGGGGTGCTGCGATCTGCTACACTGTCGACACTTTCGAGGGCTGCTGGTGGGTCCTGCGGGGTGAGGCACCGCGGGGACCTGAGCGAGACCTCGCCGTTCCTGGGTGGCTGCGATCTGCGACACTGTTGCAACTTTCGAGGGCTGCTGGTGGGTCCTGCGGAGTGAAGCGCCGCGGGGACCTGAGCGAGACCTCGCCGTCCCTGGGGGGCTGGCTCGTCGTCCCTGGGGGGGGGGCTGCGATCTGCGACACTGTCGCGCTTCTGCCTTCAGCCACTATAGCTGTTCAGCTCCCTTCCTCCTCCTCCTCCTCCTCCTCCTCCTCCTATGCTTAGCACGCCTGCCGTTTCACCCAATTGTCTAGTATGTCTCACATTTTCTGCCAACGCACCTATGTTGTGCATGGCGTCTGTCTGTCTGTCTGGTGGGTCTTGCGGGGTGAGGCACCGCGGGGACCTGAGCGAGATCTCGCCGTCCCTGGGGGGGCTGCGATCTGCGACACTGTCGCCACTTTCGAGGGCTGCTGCTGGGTCCAGTGGAGTGAGGCACCGCGGGGACCTGAGCGAGACCTCGCCGTCCCTGGGGGTGCTGCGATCTGCGACACTTTCACCACTTTCGAGGGCTGCTGGTGGGTCCAGCGGACTGAGGCACCGCGGAGACCGGAGCGAGACCTCGCCGTCCCCGATCTGCGACACTGTCGCCACTTTCGAGGGCTGCTGCTGGGTCCAGCGGAGTGAGGCACCGCGGGGACCGGAGCGAGACCTCGCCGTCCCTGGGGGGGGGGGCTGCGATATGCTACACTGTCGCCACTTTCGAGGGCTGCTGCTTGGTCCAGCGAATTGAGGCACCGCGGGGACCTGAGCGAGACCTCGCCGTCCCTGGGGGTGCTGCGATATGCTACACTGTCGCCATTTTCGAGGGCTGCTGCTGGGTCCAGCGGGGTGAGGCACCGCGGGGACCTGAGCGAGACCTCGCCGTCCCTGGGGGGGCTGCGATCTGCGACACTGTCGCCACTTTCGAGGGCTGCTGGTGGGTCCAGCGGGGTGAGGCACCGCGGGGACCTGAGCGAGACCTCGCCGTCCCTGGGGGTGCTGCGATCTGCGACCCCGTCGCCACTTTCGAGGGCTGCTGGTGGGTCCAGCGGAGTGAGGCACCGCGGGGACCTGAGCGAGACCTCGCCGTCCCTGGGGGGCTCTGGAGAGCTGATGAGGGATACGTTAGGCGCAACGGGCGCATGGCACAGCCAACGGCGGTGATTTGTGAAACAGACAATCTGCCGGGCGATGGCCATAACGTTGCGCCTACACGTAGCCCGCGGGGGCTCTCAGAAGCTGCTGTGGGATACGTTGGGTGCAACGGGCGCTTGGCACAGCCAACGGGGGCGATTTGTTATTACGTAGCCCTTATATCTTGATCGGGGGCCTGCGAGCCTTCCGATTGCTGCTCGCAAAATCACCACATGTGTCCATGTTACGTCATCGCCCCCGTTGTGGCAATCCTGATGTACTTATGCCCCGCATTGCGCAAGGGTTGGGTACGTCGCCAGGGTATTTTTTCGTTTGTTGTCAAAATGCTGTTCTCGCCAAAGCGCCGGCCTCAATTTCGGGCTACCGGTCATTCAGAGTCGTGCTCCCGCTGCAGCGGTGGCCTCATTTCTGCGCTTCCGCCTCTCGTTCCGAATCGTGTTCACGCTGCAGCGCTGGCGTCATTATTTCCAGTGCCATGCCACGGCATGGTTCTGGGTCCTCTCACATAGGCCCAAAAATCTAGGGGACGCCCCCAACACATCGGAATGTCGATGCGTTGATGTTTTGGGCCGCAGACGCCCCCCCCACTTCGGGGCGTCGCTACGCCATGCTATGTCAGGCTACGCGTCCTCATTTCCGCTTTTTTTGTGTTTTTGTTTCTCTTCAAAATGCTGCTCTCGCTGAAGCGCCGGCCTCATTTTCGGGCTACCGCTCGTCCTGAATCGTTTTCCCGATGCAGCGTTGGCGTCGTTATTTCCAGTGCCATGCCACGGCATGGTTTTCGATCCTTCCAAATAGGCCTCGAAATCTAGAAATTGGCCTCCCGAAAAAACATCAAAAGTGATTCCACATTCGGTGTCGATGCGTTGATATTTTGGACCGCAGAAGCCCCCCCCCCACTGGGGCGTCGCCACGTCATGCCATGTCATGCTACGCGTTGATCTTCCACCATGCTATGACATGCAATGCTATGCCATGTCGAGACATCTTACTGTGCGAATAGGGAGGAGATCTACGCCATACTAATGAGAGGGAGGGGTTGGACGTCAGATCTGACGCGAGCGCACCTAGCTTGTCCCCTCCCCCTCTCCCCTCTCCCACCTCCCCATTCTCTCCTCGCTCCCTCCTCCCATCCTACATTCTTCACACTGCGCGTATACCCAGGGAATTCGGATGGGACCGATCCTGCTCGCTGTTTTTTCTTGCGTCGGCGCGTAGCCCGCCCGTCCTGCACGGCTTTCGACTTGCTTCGCGAGCCCGCGTACCAAAAAGTATACCCAGGGAAGGGGGCAGGGGGAGGGGTAACCCCCTCCCCCGAGCAGGGGAAGGAGGGGGAGAGAAGACGGAGCTCTTTCGGCCACCCACGCCCAGAGAGCTGGTGGGGCTCTCCACCCGCCTCAGCGTTCTCCTCCTCGGCTCTCCTCCCTCTGCTCATCTTACTCCCTCTTCTCGTCCCCCTGCTCCTGCCGCGGGGTTGGCAGCGTGTGCCGTTGCAGCCGTTTTCCCAGGTGGGCGTTTTTTTTTATTCGGCGTTTCGACATTGGGCGGGAAGGGGGGGAGGGGGGGAGGGCTCTGGCACTCGACCTGTGCTTAGTGCGACTGTCTGCAGCAGTGCGCCCCAAAGGGGAGTCCCCGCCTGCTGGAAACAGGTGCCAAAGCCAAAAAACAGCCAAGATCTCCTCCATGGGGGGGAGGTTTTTTTTGAGGCCTGGAAATGGGCGCCAACACCAAGACAGGGGGCTGCCTCCAAAGGGGGGAGATGATCCTAGATTTCGGTGTTCGTGGTAATCTGTCGGCCACCTTGGAGGCCAGAATATTACAACCATCACCGAGGTCTTCCCTCGGTGAAGGCACACCGCCGATATTGGTGTTGGTGTCAACCTCAAGGCCTGCGAGGTTTTGGGACCGCGCCGACCGGAACAAACAATGAATGAAAATAACGATCACCAGCGCCTCCCCGGTGCTATGAGGCGGCCACGTGTGCGGGAAATTGGCTTGGCGGCGGGGCAGGAAGCAGCCCCGCCGGCCCCCCTGCCGAGACTTGACGAGTACGGCCGCATCCTGCTGCCGAGTGGTGCCCTGGTCTCCTCGACCGGGAAGAGCTACGAGGGCGCGGTGCTCTTCCGCGGGAAGCCGAAGGTCTTCGTCGCGGGGTCCACAGGAGCATGCCGGGCGCCCAGGGCCCCGCTGGCTCTGGCCGTGGCGAGGTTTCGCCGACGCCGGCCGTTGATCCTTTGGTTTCGTTGGTGTTGTTGTCGGGGGCGTCCCCGAAGGGGGTAAGGACCAGTGGTGTGTGGACGCCGTGGCCAGGGCAAGAAGAGCCCTCAGATGCCATCGCCTCTCTTCTTCTTCTTCTTCTCCTCCTCCTCCTTCCTTGTCTTTCAGCATGTCCCGTTGTCTCCCATCGTCCGCGCGCACGCCCCGGGTCATGATGCTCGAGCCCCCGTCTTCTTGGCCCTTCTCTTCGACGCAACCAGATTGAGTCGGCTATGGATCTTTATATCCTGGCCGCCCAGATGGTGTCGGAGGAACGCGGTGCATCTCCGAGGCATCGGCTTCGTTGCGCGATCCAGAGCCCGATGTTCTCCATCCTGATGTCGTCGATACATCGCATCGCCAGTGCGCCGCTGCTGCGGTGCGATCCCAGATCCCAGGCGTGGCCATGTTCGCACAATGTGGAACCCCGGATATCTGGACCCCTTCCACGGTGCCGGCTCTTCATCTGAGGCCGTCTTGGGGAGGAGTGGGCAGGAGGGGAGAATGAGGAGGAGGGAGGAGTGGGGAGGAAGACGGAAAGGCGAAGGATGAGCAGGAAGAGGAGGAGGAGAAGGAGGAGGAGGAGAAGGAGGGGGATGATGACGATGTTGATGATCATGATCATGATGATGCTGATGATGATGATGATGATGATGATGATGATGATGCTGCTGAGTACGATGAATATTAATATGAAGATGACGATGAAGATGTAGGTGACATTGATGATGATGGTGATGACGTTTATGCAGCTGATGTTGATGATATTGATAATCATGATTATAGCGATGATGATACTGATGATGATGATGATGATGATGATGATGATGATGATGATGCTAAGTACGATGAATATTGATATGACGATGACGATGAAGACGTAGATGAAATTGATGATGATGGTGATGACGTTTATGCAGCTGATGTTGATGATATTGATGATCATGATTATGGTGATGATGATACTGATGATGATGCTGCTGATGATGATGATGTTGATGATCATGATGATGATGATGATGATGGTGGTGGTGGTGGTGATGATGATGAATGATGATGATGATTAGGATGATGATGATGATGATGATGATGATGATGATGATGATGATGATGATGATGATGATCATGATGATGATGATGATGATGATGATGATGCTGATGAGGATGATGATGATGATGCTGCTGCTGACGATGCTGATGCTGCTGATGATGGAGGTGATGATGATGAGTAGGGACATGATGAAGACGATGAGGATAAGGATGAGGATTCGGATGCTGCTGCTGGTGATGATGATGATGATGATGATGATGATGATGCTGATGATGCTAATGATTATCATGATGATGATGAGGTGGAGGCGGAGGAGAAGGGGAAGGAGTATATTGGTGTTGATGATGTCCATGCCGATGCTGGTGCTGATGCCGATGCTGATGATGAGGATGATGATGCTGATCATTGGTGTGGTGGTGTTGTTGTTGGTGGTGATGATGCTGATTAGGATGATGATGATGATGATGATGATGATGATGATGATCACGATGCTGAGTGTGATGGTGACGGATGATGGTGATGGTGACGGTGATGGTGACAGTGTGGTGATGGTGATGGTGATGCTGATGATGATATTGATGCTGATGATATTGATGACGATGATGTTGATGATGCTGATGATGATGGTGATGGTAATGGTGAAAGTGACGATGATTGTGATGATGATGATGCTGATGATGATGCTGATGATGCTGATGATGATGCTGCTGCTGCTGCTGATGATGATGATGATGATGATGATGATGATGATGATGATGATGATGATGATGATGATCATGATGACGACATCATGAGGTTGACGATGATGGTGGTGGTCGGGGTGGTAATGGTGGTGACGATAATGACGACGAGGAGGAGGAGGGAGGGAGGGAGGGAGGAAGACGAGGAGGGCAGGATGGAGAGAGGAGGAGACGGAACAAGTCCCCAGAGTTTGCTGGGTCCTCGATCCTCGTCATCCATCCTTGATTCTCGATTCAGGGACACATATTCTCGATCCTGGATCCTTGAGGTGGAGGAGGCGGGCCCGGTCTGCGCTTCGGCAGTCTGGCGTGCGCTCGGCGGCAGCTCTAGAGTAAGGGCAACCCCCCTCTGGATGGCCATCAACCGCCAACACTGAAACAAGGGCGCCCTCGAGGGCGCGAAGTTATTCGCGCTTCGCGCTTCGCGGTTCGGCTCCGATTCCTCCTCATCCTCCTCTTCTCCCTTGGGAGGCGGCGCATGAGCGCGAAGTTATTCGCGCTTCGCGCTTCGCGCAGCGCGAAGCGCGAAGTTGGGAGCCCTTGTGAAAGATTCGGGAGCTCATAGCCAGGGTAAGTTGAACTTGGAGTCAGGGCCGGACCCAAACGGGGTTTTGGCCATCTCGTGGGCCGTTCTGCTTTTCGTCTTGTTTTGCACTCGAGGCGAAGCGAAGGCAAAAAGAGAAGGAACGAACACGCAAAACGAAAACGACAAGCACCGTTCAAGTTCAGCCCTGCCTGGAGCGGGCGGGGGGGCCGAGATGGGGCACCGCGTGGTTCCCAGCGTGAGCGAGGTGGAGAGGAGCCGCTGTGCGTGTGCTTCATGCCGCGTCTCCTGGGCCGCTCTCTCCAGACGGGCACGGCATGCCGGACTTGTTCGTCCCCTGTCCCCTCCAGTCCACCCAGACTGGTTCTGTTGGTGCCCATCCAGGGCAGGCCCTACGGCCGCCTCCGAATCAAGTTGGAAGCATGCGGGCCCCGGAACTGGACTTCAGTAAGATGCCCTGGGCGTTTTTTCCTGAGCATCCCTGCCCCGTTCGATTCCTTCAAACAGGTTCGTTACTATTTCAAAGGGCATCCGCTGTTGGGGGTGCTCACTGTACGGGTGTTTCCCCCCGCCTTCTGCACGAAGGGATAAACGAGAGGATTAGGAGGACGAGGATGAGAAAGATGAGTAGGAAGACGGTGAGTAGGGGGATGAGGACCAGTGCGATTCAACACGAGACGCATCAACGATGTTGCAATCAATCCTTCCTCCAAGTTCCCTCTTCAAAGGCCCCTAAAATAATTGCTCCAGCTGCCTGTCGTAAACCCCGCCAGCGTGCCTGTGCAACAGCGCAGCAGAAATGAGGCTGAGTATAGGAACAGTGCAATTTCGACGAGAAGTCTGCTTTGGGGCGGGTCGTGATCTCGAGCTTGTCTTCGTCCGCGCGGTAGGGAGGAGTGAGGAGGAGGAGGAGGAGGAGGAGGAGGAAGAGGAGGTGAGGGAGAACATGAGGATGAGGAGGATAAGGCTTCTTGTGGTCTTCTTGGGGCTTCCTTGGGGCCTCCTGGGAGCCTCCTGGCAACTTACTTTTGGCCTCTTGGAGGCCTCCTAGGGCCTTCGGGGCCGTCTTTAGGGACTCGTGGGCTGTCTTGGAGCTATCTTCGAGGTCTCTTTGGAGCTTCTTGGGCCGTTCTGGGCGGTGGGACACCCGAATAGTCGAGAACTCGAACATCTCCGAACCACCGAACACACATCAGTGGGTTTGACGTCCACGGGCTCTCCTGGAGGGCCTTTTGGAGACCGCTCTGGCCGTCTTGGGGGCTTCTCGATCTGTCTTGGGGCTGTCTTGGGGGGTCTCCTGAGCCGTCTGGGGCCGTCTTGACGTCCTCTTGGCTGCCTCGAAAGCCGCCGCGGAGGCCGTGAGGCTCCCAAAGAAGGCCTAAGATTGATCCGGGGCCCCCAAAGACAGCCCAAGAGGTCTCCAATAGACTCTCCAGGAGAGCCTAAGGAGGCCAACACCATTGGTTTCCATGAGGGTTTTGGAGGAATTTGAGGTTCTGGCATGTGTGGGTTTCCGACCGCCCAAGGCAGCCCAAGAGGCCTCTCTGGGCTGTCTTGTTGCTCTCTTTGAGCGCTTCAAGGCCGTCTTGGGGCCCTCTTTGGAAGCTCCGTTCGGCGATCTTCAGGTTCTCTTGAGCCGACTTGGGGCCCTCTTAGAAGCCTCTTGAGCTGCCTTGGAGCTATCTTGGAGGCCTCTTGGAAGCCTCGTGGGCCGCCGTGTGTAGTCGGAATCTCGCACAAGCGAGAACCTCAGTATCCTGAAAACGCCTAATCGAAATGAATGGTCTCGAAGCTCTTCTGGGCCCTCTTGGGGGCTTTTTGGGCCGTCTTGAGGCCCTCTCGCGCTCTTGGGAGGATCTTGCACTGTCTTGGACCATCTTGGGCCGTGCTGTTGTCTTTTTGGTTGTCTTGGAAGCCGCCTCGGAGGACATCTTGGCCGTCTGGAGGCCGAACGGACCACCAGACAACAATTTGAGAAGGGACGTTTTTGGGGGCGCGCGCGGCGAGGAGGGGGCCTTCAAACTCTACAAAACCTCCCAGACAACAGACGAGCATTCTAACACCCCCACTCCGTGCAGGCACGGTGGTGCACTGTCAATACGGAAAGCGGCCCGTTAGAACCCTCAATCGTGCCAGAACGCCGATGCTGGGTAAGGAACGCCGCGGATCCACGTGACTGTCACGTCGTGACAGTCCCGAACCGTGCCAGAGCACAATTCTTGGGGCATCAGCACCCGTCAATCCGTGCTGGTGCCAGAGCACAGGTCTTGGGGCATCAGAGTCCTCAATCGTGCCAAAACGCCGTTACTGCGGAAGGAACGCCGCGGATCCACGTAACTGTCACGTCGTGACAGTCCCTAACCGTGCCAGAGCACACACCCTGGGGCATCAGCGCCCGTCAAGCCGTGCTCGTGCCGGGACCTCCTGTCCTGGGCGTTCAGCCACGTGGCTCCTTCGACCTGTCGCAGGCTTTCCGGTCGAGTGCGCGCGGGCTTGGGAGAGGGCCGTCTTCTAGAAGACCACTTGCCCTCCATCCTCTGACTGTTGCAAACTTTTTAGACGAATGCGCG